TATTGTGTCCATCAACAACTAAAAATATTTTTTAAAAAGGGAGGAGGAGGAATTAATACATCAATAATGAACCATTTCCCTCCAGTATATTTTCATCAAGCACTCTTAATCCAACAGACTTCAATTTACAAATATCTGCCTGCTGAACTGGATTTAAAAGCAGCAACCTCAGTCACTTCTGAGGTATAGAAAAGTTTAATTTTCTGACCAATAGGTGTCAGGTATGACACCTATTGGTCAGAAAATTAGAATACCCATTTCTACTCATTTTCTCCCCTTACCATTACCAAAACACACAAACAAGAAACCCTTAAGAATAAACTTATGAGTCATTAAAAAATTTATAGAAACTCAAACTTTACCATAAAAATCTGTCAACTGTATTTGAGCACCTCTTGAGATAGATGGAGAAAAGGGTAGAAAAGTGAGTCTTTACCTTTATTTGTATTTCATTTCTTTAAAAAAAAAAAAAACTTGACATGTAGCATGACTAAGAATCAAAACACTTTACAGCATTTTGGTAGAGGGCTGCAGATATGGCTCAGTGGTACATACTGTGCTTGTCTAGCATGCCCAAAGTTCTGGTTCAATCCCGTAAGCACCCCCTTCCAAAAATCATTTTGGTGTAGATTTTATAATTTACCCGAGAACGTGCACATAATTTTTTAATAAACATGCATACAACTGAGTATACAAATACCTGAGAAAGCTTAGGTTCTAGGAATAAAACACATCATGATGAATACAACTTAAGACACAAGAGAGGATTTCATACAACAACCAATTATTTTAGGCAGCAAACCGATTAGGTTTCCTGGTTGTAGACAGTCCCCAAGAGAACTCCATATCAGTTTGGAATTACAGAACTGTCTTTCCAGGAAGCATTTTAAAGCCCAACTGCAGAGAATGAATATAAATTTTATCAGCACCTGTACCCCATTTTCAGTACAAGAGAAGAACTGGGCCAAATCCCAGTCCCTGACCTTAAGGACTGGGAACATAGCCACCATCTGGTGGGGTGGACTACATACAATGTTTCCCTTGACTCAAGATGGCAACAGAGTCACTGAGTCCCTGCCTCCCCCTACCCTACTAATGACACAGCCTTTCCTGGGGACCCAGCATGTTCCAACTCTGCTAGGCTACCTCCAATTTAGAGAACCCTGACACACAATGACTTCATTCCCAGTGTCCTCTCCCAAGCAGCAAAGGGCTCAGGATAAGTTGCAACGGGTGGGGGCGAGTTAAAGGGCTACTTATGAACAGCAGAAGTGGCGCCCTTAAAGCCACACATTTAACCCCCTCAAGTCTTCCCCTAAAACGCAAAAAGAACCTTTCTCACGACCTAAGCAGCCTTAAGCACCGACCTTGGGTGCCCGCGGGAGAAGAGCAGCCTGGAGCCGGGCTGTGCCCCCTCGCCAAGTCTCAAGAACCGAGGCGGGGTCTGGGTGACCCGGTGGCTGCGCAGCCCGCAGCAGCTCTACCTCGGCAGGACTCTCGCCCGACACCAGCACGCAGGTAGTGCGTGGCCAGCAGTTCCTGCGGCCTGACTGACCCACGAGGCACAGGACTAGCGAAAAAACCCAAACTGTTTTTGTTTTTTTTGTTGTTGTTGCTGTTGTTTTAAGAACCAAAAACGAGATTAGACAGTGGCAGCAAGCAAAACTCTTTATTCCGCTGGAAAACGCAACTGCCTCCTTTTAGGTTTTCAATTCATCCTGAGTTTTTAAACTAAAGATGACGCCTCTCTTGCAGGTTTGGAAGAGTCTTTTCCCGGGGAGATGCTTAAGGAAAGCAATCTCCCCGGTGAGCCTGCCTTCTGCCTGAAATGACAAACCAGGTATTCACAGAAGAAAAGAGTCGCCCAGGATTATTTAATGGAGCCAGTTGTCACAGAAAGCAACTCAGTAAAATAGCACATTTTAAAAACCGAGGTAGACGTACATAGAGTAAAACCCATATATGCATTTAGGCGTTCAGTGGGTCGTCCCAATCCAGACAGGAGTCAGTCTATCCTTCAAATTGCCCTCAAGCTCCTTCCCAACCAAAGGCAGACTTTTAAAGGAACAATATTCTGAAACACTTAACAATCACTTCCATCAAAAGGAAAAAGGAAGAATTTCAACAGCTTATAGGAACTTCACTGCCTGGTCGTGCTTTTTTTTAGTCTTCGATTCGAAACTAGCTTATCACCTCTGAAACTCAAATTTTCTAGCACTGTAATTTCAAATGAACAAAGTTTTCTTGTTTTAATGAAAAGCTAAAGACATGAAGTAGAATATCGCTCAAATTTGTTTCAAAAAAATTGTATTTAGTTCAAAACCCTAATATCTAAATGCTTTCTAAAACTTCAACCTAGCACTGAACGTGTTAAAAAGTGATTTTTAAAAGCATCCAGGTATCTCAAGGGGTGGAGAGGTTCACTTCTCTCTTCGAGCTCTCCCACACTGCTTGAGTTTTTAAAAATTTATAGTTTTGTGATTTAAAAAGTGAATAAGCCTCTCACAAGTCTGGTAACACGGAGCGCCTACAGTACCCGCACAGCTAAAACACAGGTAGATCTTTAAGAATATAAATAAAAACTGACATTTAAATTCAACCTCCCTTCTAGGAGGGGAAATCTCGCGACTTCAGAGCACCCTGTCCTCTAACTCCCCCCCCCCCCCCCGCCCTCCATTTGATCCTAATCTGCAAGTGAATTGGCTCCATCTTTCTGTTCCTGGGATTTTCTAAAAGTAATGAAAGAACATACTAGAAACATTCACCCATGAATGTGAGAAAACTGCAAGAAAGTCCATTCAAAGCTTAAAAAAACGAAGCAATCCCTCCCGCCCCAAGCTCCACACCTAGAAGGAACCTTTTGAAATAGGGGTGCCCACAAGTAGATTAGAATTTCAACTTTTTCCAATAGGAGAAGTCGGCTTAAGGCCATCGGGCAGTAGCTCCGCCCTCTTACCCAATAACAGGTTAGAGTGGCCAAGGCTGAGCGCGGTGCTTGTCTTGGAGGTGCTCAGTATCACCCAACCCACTCCAACTCCTGCAGGATTTTTAAAACCTTTGCCATCTCCTGCTCTCCCGCGGAAGCAGGACTACACGCCGAATCTCACAGGTCTACAGCTTTAAGTTACCGACTCTTCAAGAGAGGCTGCGCCTCAAAATTTTTCGTTCCTTATCCCGTGAGTTAGGGCGAGTGGAAGGTGCTGCTCAAAACCAAAGTGAAAAAAAAAGTGTCACACAGTGTCCACAACCCAAAGAGCGAAATCAAGCCCAAAAACCGCTGTGCAGCCCTCAGATGCTACTCACCCCCAGGTTCAAGCCGCGTGTAGCTGCTCGGTTTTTTTTTTTTTTTTTTTTTCCCAAGGGAAGTTGCGCCTGTGGTTGACCAGAGTGGGGATACCTTCTAACCAGGGAAACAGGTTCCCGAAGGGACATAACCTGGGGCGCTGTGTGAGAAGCCCAATAGCAAGAGTCTCAGCCGGGTAAAGGTAATGGACGAGGAGTTCGCCCCGATTCCGCCTCTATCTCGGGGTACGGTCCACAATGCCGAACGTTAATGCCACGTGAAAGCTCAGCGCAGACCATGCGTTTTGACACTACGTGAAACAGCTGCGGAGTAGATATGAGCTCAAGACCAGGGGCCCTTTGGCCCTCAAAGATCCACAGACGTCCCTGACTTAACACAAGAGGGAACAATTGCTTCTGTCCAAAAAAAAACAACAAAACAAACCAACAACAACAACAAAAAACAGTCCTACCCCCCGCCATGCACATGGAAAGTTGATCTATATAGGCACAAACACTCCACACACCAACTCATCCACACAACCACTCCTTCCCAGCTCACACCCTACTCAAAAGCAATAATCTACAAGTTTCACAAATAAAGAAAATGAAGGAGAGCCCTCTCAACGCTTTGGGAGGCCTCAGGCCGGCCCACACAAGGAATTCAAGGCTACACTCACACTACACACCTATCTCTCCCACCTCATGTCTAAGTTAATTACAACGGCTGCCACGTTTCGCTACAGTGAAAATATGGAATAGGGGAACCCACATTTTGGGACTCTCCGAAGGCCCCTCGCGGCAGGCATACAGAAGCCAGATCTTCGACACACTTTTTAGGTCGTGATCTCCTAGATACCAACCATTGCCACTATGCTCAAAGAAAAATGCAACATATCTGGTTGAGGACCCACCTTTCCTCACTTTGACACAGGTCGGGAGGACCCTGTCCACAGGCGGTCACCGATACGCAAACACACACTAAACCCAGGCGCAGCCCACTCTCAAGCAGCCCCACGACTCACCTCGTCGTCGTGGTGCTGGCAGAAGCCGAGGCGCTCCGGGAACACCGAGAGAATGGAGAAGGGCGCACCAGGGAAAGGGGAGCCGAGTCCGAGTTGCTGCGCCGCTGCCGCGGCTGCGGGACCCGGCGGGCCGCGCTCTATATAGTGATCCTTGGTGAGACGCACGCGCTGGTGCGCGCGGACGCAGTTGTCGCACAGGTGCTCCTGGCAGTCGAGGCAGCGAGAAGAGGCCGCGTTGCCCTCATCGCACGAGCTGCACCCATGCGGCCGGCGGAGCAGCAGTGCAGACGGGGAGGCTGTGGGGCCACCCGACGCTGAGCGAGAAGGTGCGGGCGGCGGCGGCGCCTGCGGGAGCGGCGGCGCGGAGGCGGATGCGCGCGGGTGCGCGTGGTGCGCGTGGTGCCGGTGATTGCTGTGGCCGGCAGCGCCCGCTGGGGCGCCGGCGCGCCCGTTCTTGGGCGGCGGCTCTTCGGCGGTGGCCACCACGGCGTCAAGCAGGTTGCTGAGCAGGAAGGCGGACGAAGGCAGAGCGTCCATGCCAGCCGCTTCGGCTAATACTACTTTCTGGTCACACACGGGGCAGCGCAGCTTGAGCGGTTCTCCGGGTGCGCCACCGCCCGCCGCCGGCATCCGATGCGCCTCGAGGCAAGGGCGGCAGAAAGCGTGTAGGCAGGGTAGGACGTGCAAGCGGCGTGCCGCCGCCCCTGGGCCCCCTCCGCCGCCCCCAGACGACGTGGACGTCTGCGACGACGAGGACGACGCGGACGAGTTGGAGGAGAGCGGCGCGGGCGAGCCGCACATCTCCTTGCAAAGCAGGCAGATCTGGAAGTCGGTCTCGGGGAACGAAGCCATTTGCAACCCGGCCCAGAGGAGGGAGGAGACCAGAGAGGAAGAGGAGGAGGAGGAGGAGAGCGCGGACGAAGTGGGTGGGGAAGCCACCGACTCACTCAGAAAAATGCATCGATTAGGCCTGAAATCCGGGAGCAGACACCAGAGCGACGCAGCCCCCTTGGCCTCGCCACGTCCGGCCCACGCGCTGCCAGCTCCAACACTGCGGGCATTAAATGCCACTAACCAGAGGTGACACAGATTCCTCCCGGAGGACGTGGGGGCCGCGTGCCTTCCGAAGCTGTAACGCCAGAACAAGCCCCGACACGCGAGGGGCAAGCAGGGGCTGGGAGGTCAGTGTACTCCCCGGAGCAGCTGGGGCTTCGCTTCGCGCTAACCAAGAGGAGTCCCCAAATTGAGAGTCCGCTGTGTAATCCTAGTCCCGGTGAGAGCAGAATTTGGTTCGACGAGTATTTGGTGTGTTGCTTTTCTTTTAAACAGATTTAGTCTCTTCTTGGGAAGGGAATGTGCCCCAAACTCGTAAAGGCGGGAGCAAAGCGTCGCCAAGCCGGTGTCCCCCCGCGCGACGCCGACCGCCCCACTGCATGACGCGGCGGCCAAGGGCTCCTGGGTGGCCCGGCGTACTGCGCTCGGGGCTTGCGCACCGCCAGGCGCAGCCTATCCTGCAGGGCGGTCGGCCCCGGCGCAGCTGCACCTCGTGCTGGTCTGACCACGGCAGCACGCGTGCAATACGCACGCGCGTTCCACGCGCTTCGAGTCTCCCGCGCGCCGGCCCAACCCGGCCGCTGCTATCCGCGCTAACACGCACGCGCGCCCCACGCGGCCCGGGGCCCTCGTGCCCCAGCCTAGCCCGGCCGGGCCTGGGCGCCTTCCGCGCGCTCTTTCCTCTCCGGCTTAGCCCCGCTGCAGCGCGGGTCCGCAGGTCCCGGCGGGCCGCACTGAATTATTCATCGGCAGGAAGATATTAGATGTACCCGCTGCCCGCTCTGCGCGGGCCGTCGTGCAATGCTATCCGAGCTCCGCGCGCGCCCCGCGCCCCTCCTCCTCCTCACGTCCGTCCTCTCTGAAACCTTGGCAGCGAAGGGGGATCACATTTCCTTTGTCATAGGGCCATTTCGCCCTCGCCCTGGTCCCCCCTCCGATCCCGAGCCTCGGGGACGGAGCCTCCTCCCGGGCGCGTTGGAATCAGTGGAACCGGCAACGGCCCCGCGCCGCGAGTTCAGAAGCCGCGTGGCCAACGCCGCCGGCTCCCGCCTGCGTCATCTTCTTTCTGAAACGAGTCGCCGAGCAGGACGCGGGTGGCCAGGCTGCGCTGCGCCTACCGGGGTTTGCTCTCGCCGTGCCCTGGCCTCCTGGGGCTTTGCACAACTCCCCCAATTCGGGCTGCGAGCGCGCGCACGCGCGCCCCCTCTTTCTCTGCTTTGCCGCCTCTTCCTCCTCCTCCTCCTCCTCTCTGTGCGCCGGTTATTGGGACTGATCGGAATTCGGAATCCTTTTAATCTCCAAAGGAGCAAACTCACTTCCGCCCGAGTGCTGGGAGGGGGCTGGGGGAGGGGAGACAGGGGAGGGGGTTCCAGGCAAACAGGAAACATTAGCCCTCTCGGCACGGCCCGCTTTTGTGTGCTCCCTCCCTCCTCCCATCAACCTCCTCCCTTCTCTAGGCCGCTGGGGAGATGAACGCCCCCGGGCTTCAGTGTGACGACCTTTGAAACCTTCAGAGCGAGGAGCTGAGAGCGACTCTTCCGTTTATTTAAAAAAGAAAAGACTTCATTCTGAATCCCTGCCTCATCGGAGGCTGATATCCACTCTCCCGGGGATCTGGGTTTTCCCCCTACCTTTTTTTCTCCTTCCCTTGTCTTAAGGACTCTATATCTGCCATCAACACCAAAACATCATACGTTGGATGCGTGGAATTAAACGAATCTGAATTCTGATTTTGAGTTTTGACGGGGGAGGGGACAGCTGTTCAGGGGAGGCCACCCAGCGGCCCCATGGCCATCTGGGTGGTGCCCAAGAATGGGCGGTTCTAGGAGAGGAACTTGCGTGGCCCTAGAAGAAGCCTGACGTGGAAGGGCCAACAGGGCCACTTACCAGGATTTAGGGAGTATCTGGCCCAGAGACCAACAGGCAGAACAATTGTCCCCATCTTCACACTGTCAAACTGTTAGTGGTATCTTGGTTCTATTTAAACTGGCCCAGGCAAACATTCTAGACGAATTTCAAAACATCATGTTGGGAGAATAAAGCCAAACAACAAAAGAGTTCATACTCCATGATTTCAATTACAGAAAAATTCTAAAACAAGCAAACTAAACTATGGGGATAGGAAAGGTACCCTTGGGGATGACGCCTGACTGACTGGAAAAGGTTATATGAAGGTATCCTCTGGGGTAATGAAGTAAAAATATATCGGTGTATTCACTTATTCTGACTTAAAAATGCTATTTAAGCTCTGCAAAATTTCACTGTAAGTTATATCTCAAAACAATTTTTTAAAAAATTTTGGTTTCCAATTTGAATCACTATACCTGCATCATAATGATAGGGTAGAAATACCTATCTCCCATTTTGTCATCAGAATCTAGGGATAGATCAATCTGGAAAGAACCCTTAAATCAACCCAACTAGATAAATGTGCTGAAAAGACAGAGCCTTGGGAGGAGCCCAGGTGCTGAGGATAAAGAACTTCTGGCTGCAAAGAGTCTGGCAACCCTCTGAAGGTTCAAGTCCTTCATTGCCCTCCAGATCACCCACCTCACCACCCAGAGCAAAGCAAACATCAGTCCCACCTACAGTAACCTGTGAACAGTGAAACTGTTGACAGTAAAGCCAAAATAGCCTTCTCTATCAAATTAAGAAAACTTTCTTAATTTATTATTTTTAATATTTTTTTAGTTGTCAATGGACCTTTATTTTATTTATTTATATGTGGTGTTGAGATTCCAACCCAGTGCCTCACACATGCTAGGTAAGCCCTCTGCCACTGAGCCACAATCCCAGCCCCAAACTTTTAAAATTTAAAATTAGGGACTGGAGAGCTGACTTTAGTGCCACACACATCTAATCCCAACTGCTTGGGAGGCTGAGGCAGGAGGACTGAAAATTCCAGGCCAGCCTGAGCAATTTGGCAAGACCATGTCTCAAAAATTAAAAAATTTGGGGCTGGGAGTGTGGTTCAGTGGTAGGGCACTCTCCTAGCACATGTGAGGCCCTGGGTTCTATTCTCAGCATAAATAAATAAAGGTATTATGTCCATTTACAACTAAAAAAGAAAAAAATAATAATTTTAAAAAGGAAGAGCGCTTGCCTAGCATGGGTGAGACACTGGGTTCAATTCTCAGCACCACAAACAAATAAATAAAATAAAGGTCCATCAACAACTAAAAAATATTGGGGGTGGGGGGGAAGGACAAGATATAGCTCAGTGTTAGAGTGCTCCTGGTTATCATCCCCAGGACTAAGAAGTAAATAAACATAAATTAGGGGTTGGAGGTATATCTCAGTAATCGAGCGCCTTCAAATGAGAGTCCCTATACTCAATCCTTAGCACCAAAAATAATAAAAAAAAGAGGAGCCCAACACCATAGCTCATGTCTATAATTCTAACAACTGGAGGCCAACCTTAGCAAACTAGAGAGATTCTCAGCAATTTAGTAAGGACCCTATCTCAAAATAAAAAATAAGGACTGCAGATGTAGCTTGGTAGTAAAATGCCCTCAGGTTCAATCCCCAGTACAAAAAAAAATCTCATGCCATCATCTATTGCCAATAGAAGTTTCTTTCATAGTAATTTGAGACCTATGTGTGAACAAGTAAATCTACGCACACCTATAATTTTCTACTATACTAGCTTTACTCCAGAGTTTTTTATGTTTTTTTTTTTTTTAATTTTGTTTCTTTTCCATTTTTCCATTGTTTTTATTTTTTTCTTTAAAACAAGAAGAAAACAGATGGGGGGAGAGAATTGCCAGAAGGAAGATGGCCCCAGAGGGTCAGCAGAGAGATGGACCAAGACCCCCTGCCTCCTTCTTGGCTTGGCCCCACCCACCACCAAAAAAATTTAAAAAAAGAAAGAAGATGACAGAGGAAAAAAAAAAAAAAAACACCTAACAGTCTTCCTGATACTAAGACTCAAAATGTCTTGATAGCAGAGGTGAAATGTCAGCAGAGCCATCAAGGAGGAGCCGGAAGGCTGTAACTCCAGAAAGAGGAATCAAACTTGGCAGCTGTTGGTGGGCTGGTGTCCTGGGGACAATTGCTCAGAATAAACCAAGAAAGAGAGAGAGAGAGAGAGAGAGACTGCTGGGGGAGGTTTGATTTCTCTTCACGAAGTAGCTTCCCTTCTCTGCTTTCTTGAATTGACATCATATTAACAGAAAGCAAGTGTGCAGTGTAAACTGTTAAATTAGCACATTCCTGATTTCAGTGAAGACTTGATTTTACCACAGATAGGAAAGAGGAAAATCTTTAAATCATCAAATTTAACTCCAATTATATGGAAATACAGTTATTGTGATTTTGTTGTTGTTGTTTTTTGTTCTGAAGACCAGGGATTGAGCTCAGAGGCACTCAACCACTGAGCCACATACCCAGCCCCCCACCTTTTTTAAAATTTTATTTTATTTAGAGAGGATCTCACCGAGTTGCTTAGCACCTCTCTGTTGCTGAGGCTGGCTTTGAACTCGCTGTCCTCCTGTCTTAGCCTCCTGAGCCACAATGGGACTACACACAAGTGTGCACCACCATGCCCGGCTATCATGATCTTTTTGAATGTGGTATAATAGTAGATAAATAATAAATCAGTATTAGAACCTAATAAGGTTTAGCTTATCCCTGAGAAGAGGCAGATCTTCAGATCTATGCATCCAGAGGAAAGGATGCATAGTTCCCTCCTGCTATAAACTACATTGTATTAATTTTTTCATTACCATCCTAGCCAATGAACAAGCAAGATAGGAACAGGCAGCCTCCCAGTTTTCCCTTCGCTAGTTTTCATTAGAAAG